TTTTTTTTTTTTTTTTTTTTTTTTTTTTGTGATGTCTATTTTATTATGTAGACATAAGTCTTTATGTAAAAAGTATATATATATTTAAATTTCTTTTTTTTTTTTTGTTTATTACATGAAATTTCTATATAAAAAACTAGTTTTTTAAAATTACAAATATGTATAAAAAAATAACAAATTTATACAATGATGTTGTCATATGAATTATATTGCAAATAAATAAATTGGTAATTTGAATTACTCCATTTCATTTTTGATTTCTTTGAAATTATATTTTTTTTTTATTTTTCTAATAAAATAATTACATTCACGAGATATTGGTTTAAGTTAATCAAAAATTTTTTTGAAAACACTTTTTGTTTCATAAAAGTTACAAATTCTATTATAAATTCTTATATAATTTAAAAATTTATGCAAATTTTTTATCTCATAAACTATTTGCTGCAATTATAGTTTTTATTCATTATATTACTTAACGTATTTCTTTTTATTTTATTTTTTTATAGACAACTTTCATGTTATTTTTTAAAATACACAAAAAGTTAAAATTTAGGTAAAAAATTAACATTCTTTAAAAGAATATATAAAAAAAAAAAAAAAAATTAAAACAAAAATATATAATGAAAAAAAAAAAAAAAGAAAAAGAAAAAGAAAAAGAAAAATATGACATGTAATGAAATTATAGATATTTTCATTTTATTTATTACCTATTTAAAAGTAATATTTTATTTTTATATGAACGTATATAAATTAAATGATTCATATCATTTGTTATAATTTGTTAATAATATTTCTTCTATTATTTTAATGCTTTTATTTTGTATTTTTATTTGCCCCCACCACCACTTAATTATATGGGAATATTTTTCTTTATAATTTTATTTTCCTTATTTTTTTTTTAAAACTTTTTTTACTTTCTTTTCATTTTTAATCTCACTTTTATTTTTGTTTGAATCTTTTATTTTTGAATTTTTTTTAATTTCATCCTTTTTCTTTTCCATTTTTTTTTTTTCAACTTTTTTTTTTAATTCTTTTTTATTTTCTCCTTTAATATTCAATTCTTTTTTTTGTTCTTTATTTTTTATTTTTTTTTTACTTTCATCTTTACTATTCATCTGTTTTTTACTTTCATTTTTTATTTTAAAATTTTTTTTTTCTTGTCTATTAATCTTTTTATTTTTGTCTTCCATTTTTGTGTTTAACTTCTTTTTAACTTCTTTGTTTTTCACTTTTTTTTTTTCCCCTTTATTTTCACCTTTGTTTTTTCCTTTTTTTTTTAATTCTTTTTTATGTTCCTCTTTATTATTCAATTCCTTTAAACTGTTTTTATTTTTTTTTATTTCATTCTTTTTTCCTATATTTGCGGCTTTATTAATACCATTTTTATTTTTTTTAACTTTCACAGATTTCTTATTTTTCTCTTTCTCATTTTCATTTATTTTTGGTAATGATTTCTTCTTTTCTCCATTTTCATTTGAGTATGTATTTCCATTTTCTTCTCCTTTCAGCAGAAAATTTAAAGTATCATCAGCAGAACTTGTAGGAGACACTCCTTTTTTAAAATAGGATAAATTAAAATCATTTCTTAAAATTAAATGTGATCTTATTATACTATTTCCTTTTAAGCAACCAAATTCCTTTAGTAATTTTTTTTCTTCATCACATAATAAATCATATTGTAAATTTAATTTTTGTTTCCATTTAGACTACAAAATAATAAAAAAAAAAAAAAATTAAAAAAATAAAGGAAAAATAAAAATAAAGGATTATTTTCTTTTTTTTTTCTTTTTATTATTTTATACTTGTGCCTTAGGAGAGTCGGCAGACAAACCATAAACATAATATTTATTTTTCACAATTTTTTCAAAATTTTCTTTGAATAATTGTGCTTGTTTTGTACATCCAGGTGTGTTTGCTTTAGGATAAATAAAAATAACCATGCCATTTTTATCTTTATTTTTTTTTATTTCATTGTACAAATTAGTTTTTTCATTCTTTTCATTTAGTAAGTCAATTTTTAAAATTGAATCTGCTATTGTTTTATCTAAACAAAGAAAAAAAAAAATCGTATTTTCATTTTAAATAAATGATTATTATTTTCTTTTTATATATATTTTTATTTTTGTTTATTTAGTTAGTTCTCTTTACTTTTTTTCTTTACTGTATTTTATTATATATTTTTTTTTTTTTTACTTTCTTTTATTTGATCCATGTATAATAATATTATTCAAAAAATAAAAATTATTTTCCTTGCATTATATGTATAACCACAAAAGATGTTAAAGAATATATATATAAATATATATATATATATATATATGAATTTATAAGAAAAAAAAAAAAATTCAACCAATTATGATGCAGAATATTTCGTAGAATATATAACAAAGTATTTTACAATAATTTTAGATTTGCAACAAAAATAAAATGAAAATATATTTTGTACACACAATTTATTTAATACTTTTATAATAATGGAATAAAAGATTTATATTTTTTAAGAACAGTAAAAAAAAATATATGTACTCATGAGAAAAAAAAAAATCGAGATACAAAAATATTTCGTGCATATTAAATTTTTTTTTTTTTTTTTTTTTTTTTTTTTTTTTTTT